CCGTTGCATAACAAAGGGGAAAAAACAAGAAATATACTTCCTTGAAATGTGTCACAATGCTGTCCACGCCATTAGCCTCACAGAAAAAGCACAATTATAAAGTCAAGGCAAAGCAGAGGAAGACAAAGCAAAGATCTGCTTCAAACTAATCCATGGGAACACCATGACTATATGGGAAGTGTTATTTCCCGCCAAAGTTTGGCGCAGTCGTAACAGTCACCCCGCGATCGACCCTCCTATATGTGACCCAGTTCTACTCCAGACTAGTACACACAATTACCGCGTCTCCCTCCTCCAAGGCCGACCGATCGCTCAGATTCATGCTCTGAAAACTTTTTTTTTAAATGGTGTGCCACCGTTTTCTCTTGCATAACCATCATTTCACCTTTCGCCACAGAATTTCTACAACCTGTGATAGTGTTCTTATTAACTTCGTGAAGAAAAGTCAGCCTTGAGTAGGTAATAGTTACTGAATTGGTGAAGGAATTGGCTATCTTTTATAGATTCGAAGGTACCTTACTGAGTTTATCTTAATAGCCCGCCACTGGCCATTTTTCTAAGCCAGCTGAATTCAGTAAATGTCGTCACGAGAAGCTGAGAATAGGGAAAACTGGAGAGCTCTTTTTGGGCAGAACAATGGACCTGTCGTCAGACAGAACACTAAATAATAATAATAATAATACCCCTTGGGGTACAAGAGATGCTTTGTAGAAATCCTCATTCTTATTCATATTCACATCATTGATAAAACGCATACTTTGAGCAGTCCTGAGTCAGAGACAATTTTATGCAGTGAATTGAGATTGCAGGATTCCAGCAAAGGCAACATACCTCGAACGATGTGAAAGTTCTCCTGGTCTTCTAATTGTATGGCAAACCGATATCGATAACGTGCTTGGGGTACGAGACTTTTCTTTGATTTCATTAGGGGTGCCAGGCACAAAACGTTTGAGAACCCCTGCTCTGTGATATTATAATCCCATCTGCGCCTGCCGTATAGAGACCCTGCGTTTCAAGTTTTAGATTCCATGTCCATTTTAAGTTATTTCGTTTGTTACAAACAACCCAAGTCCGAGGCCCTGTGAAACATTTCGTAACGTGCTGGGTCTTACGACGAGTTCTTGGTATAAAACTCAACCCCCAAATTTAAATGGGAGATGCAATGGATACAACTGATTCAGCTTATCTCATCGAGATTCCAAAATAAGCGGGTCAATTTCTGACCAGCTTAACGACTGTAAAAATGTTAGGACTCAGCTACGTGATGTTAATTAGTTATTTAATTAGATAATTGAATCTGAATTGACCGCATTAATTTTACTCTTTCTTTTAGGTTTATGTAAGCGCATGTGTTATACTTATATGTTACCCAAAATGATTTAACCATTTTTCAATTTTTGTTATAATCTCTTTCTTTCTTGTACGTTTTGCCTTTTTATGCAATCGAATAAATGCGCACAGGAGGAAATGTTTGCATAAATAGATAGGAAATTTAACTGCATTAACAAGGAAGTCATAATTAATTCCTGAGTAGTTTTGATTATGTGGCATCACGACATTCTTCAGCTTTCTATAGCACAGAGTGGAACTTTGAGTGTAGTTAATGAGCAAAGCGTTCTCGCTTTATTACATCTTAGCGATACTGCTGCATTGTGAGACAGCTCCTTCAAGCGTGTCTCAGTCTGTTGTTTCAGAGACGAAATCTGTGTTGCTTAACTGGTGGTTATTTTCAGTGACCGTAAATCTATCCTACAAGAAGGTCGTACCACTGTATTTGGTGAAAGTTGCCTGCATATTTCAAATCGATTCTGTCTCTCTCTCGAGACTTCACGATTCATTACAAAGTTAAAGACAGTATTAACTTTTATATGCGCAGAAAAGGCAGTTTGAATTTTGAAAACTGTCATTCTGAGTATTTTATTGTAAATAGGCTAACATTACAAGGCGCACGTAAGAAATGTCAGGGTACAAAAAGTTATTTCGTAACAAGACATGACACAGGTTTTCGAAAGCGTGACGTAAATTGTGAACATTGAACACAGGCTTAATGGTTTGAGTGTAGCCTATTATTTTATTAGTAGTATTTTTTTAGAACTACTGTTTTTCCACGAATCGTTTAAAGCAGTTGTAATTAGCGACTCGTTGGTTTTACCAGTGTGGCCCATGGGCTAAATTTACGAATATGAAACTAAGAATTATTTATATTATCTGGTCCCACAGTACCAATGTGATAAGTAGGATTTGAGGTTTTCACGGTGGTGAATCTGAAGATGGCTGTCTTCTGGGTTGTTGCACCGTGTAGTCTTGTAGAGGTGTACCGACGTTTCAGAGGTCCTTGCTGCTGCACAATAACCCAAAGACAGCCATATTCATCTCATTTCAACTCCTTTTATGAGTTTCCTTTTTACCGGACAGACACAATAGAAAGCTCTTCAGAGGAAGCCGGAAAACAGCTGTAGTTGTTTTAATTTAGATTGTTAAAATATCAGCATAAGCGTACAGGAGAAGCAGGCCTTACTGAAAGCATGTGAACTGGTTTCGTTGAATATATATTGTAATGTCTGCAAGGTTCAACAAAACACCGTTATTCTTTGCCCTTCTTTGGTGTCGACCTTGACAAATGGTATCCGGCACTACTCGACAGCAAAAACAGGAAATAATAAAAATTTAACTTTCAAGTTAGCAAAACTTCTCCATTTTACTTGGGAATGTTATTTTGAGGGCATAGTCGACCGTATTATCATATTTTCAGAATCTTAACATTCGCGTGTCTTGGAGGTTCTGAAATGTCATTCTTATTACACTCTCACTTCGGTGCCGAAGATGGAGATAGTATTTTCCTGCGAAACGTTTGTATCTACCTACAACTGCTCACGACGTTACAACCCAGAAGACCAAAGTGGACTTGCCCCAAGTTACACTAAATAGAGGCGATCCCCGAATTTCAGTGGAGGTCTGTCCATCGCCGTTAGGTACGTTAAAGTCGGATAATAAGCCTACGGCCTACTGCAGTTTGTATTTTTATTTTAAAATTAGCAAAAACTTCCTTTTGTTCGGAGTTTTCTTAAAATAAACAATACAGAAATAATGAAATTGATCATTCATAATGACGTAACGCAACATCGTGATTTTATGAATTAAAAGATGCGGTACATAAATCGGTGATGGTCGCCTAGCAACAGGACCAGACATGGAGAACGCTGTATGAAAGCATTTGACAAAGAAGGAAAAGAAGACAGTGGATGTCAGAAGAAACAAGTTGTAAAGATGTGAACTGGATTACAGTGGCTCAAGATAAGATTCACGGATGGACTTTGTTTTGATGGCAATTGGCTTCTGTGACAACAAAGAATTTTATGGACGCTTAAGTAATTATAAGTATATTAGTAGCGGTTAGAATCAAATTGGAATGGTCTAATCTTGCGTACCGCAAAATGTATCATGCCAAAAAAAAAAATTGTCTTAATTCTTGCACACGTTTTTCTTTTGTAAACTTGTGACTCTCTTAAATAGCAGAAAACATGAAGTCGTCCACTTATTTTATTTTTTCCGTTTCATCTTACATTCGTAGTAAATGCTTGGCAACGTCTACGTGTTCGACAATTCAATAAAACAACAAGGATAGCAATTTGTATTTTTTCGAATATTAAGTACAATTTGCCGCAATTTGCGAGGATATTTCAGTCCATGAAGAGGTCATCTGAGATCATCGGAGTCTGTGCACTTAAATAGTAATTACGAACCACGGTTGAAAAATTGCTCTCGAACGCAATAAAACATTCTTCTGCGTCTTTTCCTCTTCATCGTGTCTTTCAGTAGCCGTGTTCGGTTGCTCAATCATAATTGTTTGGCCAGGAAATCATATTAACAGTAACAACAACAATGTGCTGGTATTGTACCGAGACAATTTAGGAATACAAATGACTGTGTGCCGCCATTCATTCAAAAAAGTGTATTGGTTGATATCTGAAAATTCCTGGACCAACTTTAATCGGACAAAAACAATTAACGTAGAGACAAATGAAGTCCGTGTACATGCCAAGCAGTTCGCCAGTCAACATAGAAGTAATTGAATTCAGTGTGTTTGGCAAGTGCTGTATGAATGGTCGGGTAATTGCAGCCATATAGATCTTCATGAAAGGTGATCGATATTGTTGTCCGATTATGACTTAAATTGGAACGTGTAGACAAATTTTAGTAACATTTATTAATGCCATATTTCATAATATGCCGTTCATCCTTTCATGTGCAGATACCTGATAAAATACAAATGATACAACCTAAATAAGTAGAACTATAAATAGCACAAGAAATAAGGCCAAAATATACAAAATAAAACATCTAATGTTACACAATAATAAGTCAGTGATAATGATTCAGTTCAGTTGAGCGCCTTTCCTTTTTATATTAAATTGTTCCCCAACAGCAGACTGCCTATGGCAGACAAGCAAAAATAAACGAAACAAGACTTCAGCAAGTAACCAACACCCGTTCCATTGCAGAGAATTGTCCTCGAAAATAGGTCCAGGAATGTGCACATGCTATTTTCTGCAATGGATCACCTGTCTGACGGACTATTCTGTAGCGAACTGTTGACGCTAGCGGTGGGAATCATATTTGCATTGTAGGAGCTGATAACAATAGTTTCCAAAATGGAATGTCAATTCATTTTGCCATTGAAAACAATAACAAACGAAGCATCAAGATGATGACGAAAATAATAGTAAGAGGGTCTAATAACGAAGTCTGGATATTTCATAAAATTACTCCAAACTTTTCTCTCTCTCCCCCCCCCCCCCCCCCACCTGTAATATATAAAAATTGAAAATATACAGGAACAGGGAAGTATGTGAATCATATATCTTCTTCAGTAAGATTGTAGACTGTAAACGGATGGAGGTGTGTTCTTACGGTAAATTGCTGTGGTTGCCGCACATTGGTGGTAAACTGACAATCCTGACTATAACAGGGTTGCTCTATTATGTTTGTTGTTGTTTCAGATTACGTGAGTGGGGGAGAGCTGTTCACCCACTTGTATCAGCGGGAAAAATTTACGGAGGACGAAGTGAGAATCTACATCGGCGAGATCATCCTGGCACTGGAACACCTTCACAAGGTAGGTAGTCTACACACTATAGTGAAGATTGTACATTAACACGCAATTAAATGTAGTCACTCTTTTGCTCAGACAACTACATAGCTACTGGAATATGTGTGTAAGAACTTACTTATGTTACATTAGTAATTTTAATATTGTATCTTGGAAAGGCATTTGAACAAGGGTAATTTAAAGTTTTAAACGGTTGTTAAAATTTGTTTCTTTACTTATTGAATTTCAACTTCTTTGTTCAGAAAGAAATATTTTGGTTTAATTGTTATGGATTTTTGTTAAGACCGACAAGACTAATTATTAATCCGCCAATTACTGTCTCTGTTAAGACACACGCAAAGTAACTCTGCTCTTTGTCCTCAGAGAGTATTCATGAGTTTCGAATGATTCTCACTGTAAACAGAGATTGTTTCTTTAAACAGCATTGACCAGTGGATCTTTGTAACGGAAAAGTGTTTCCTTTGAGGTACGCTATATGAGGTATATTATTAAATATTATTTAGAAGAGCTTTGTCTTCAAATGGTTAAGCAGAGTTTGCCGACATCCAGTTATTTTTTAGAATATTTCAAAGGTTTTAGTGGTCTCTTACTCTGAAGGAAAAACACAAATTACTAGTGTCTGAAAATAAGGTGATCAGGAAAATATATGGACCTGGGATGAAGTGAGAAATGTAGGATGTTACATGACGAGAAATTTTGTGATTTTTACTGGTTACATAATAACGCTATTGCTAGAATAACAAATAAACACGATGGTCTGGATATGTGGTTAGGGTGGATAAACGACGACGTGCTTACGGAATTTCGGTGAGAAAATATCTGCTTGGAAGAGCGAAAAGTAGATGGTCGAATAATATTAAGACGTTTCGTAGACAAATAGGTTGTGACGATGGGAGTTGAGGATTAGGCCCAGTGGCGGCATTGGTGTTAGCGATGTTGAATTTTAGGGTTCTGCTACCACAGTGTTATTTTGTATGATATATGAATTAAAATTACGCAGAATCTGTCAAATTCCGCGCATCCCCCAACTCGAATAGCTTTATTGCGTCTAGGACTTAATATTTTTTACTGATACTGCAACAGATGTGTCCTTATGGAGATTTCTCACAGCGTTAAATAAACATGGCGAACAGTTTACCTTGTGTAGAACGCGCAAGTATTTGCTCTCGCTGTGTTGCTGGAGAACGTTAGTTACGAGAAGGGAAACGATTCGAAACGAGGCAAGAACTCTGGCCTAGTAGCTCAACAGTTTGCCCTCTCCGCTGGCTGAGCTATTGTGGGTCTGTCATCTATTTCCACACTCATTAGCACCAGACACAGAGCCATTCTGAGCGCCACTGATCAATTTTAAACCCACGTCAACAAGGAAGAGACCGCTGAGGAATGTGTTTTCCTGAAAGTCTCTCCAGTCTCCCCGTATAGAAAAATCATGCATGCAGGGGCGTATTTCGTCGAAACAGTAGTGTGTGTGATTGACAAAGTTGTGTTGCTGTCCAAATTATACACTTATTACTTAAATTGAAACAAACGTAATTTCACTTCGGTGTCGTTGGAAAGTCCTGTCGATTAAAAAGGAAAGTCACAAAAATAGTTATTTGCTTTCAGGAGAAGAAGCCACTTGGAGGACCTTAGCTTAAATGGAAGGGTAATATTAAAGCAGATCTTAAGAAATAGGATGTAAGGATGTTGACTGGATTCAACTGACTCTGAGTTGTGTCTCGTGATGAATTGTTGTGAATGATCCTTCGGGTTCCATAAAATTTCTTTACCCGTTCGGCGACTTACAGCTTCTGTAGAAGCTGGTTTGTCAAGAACTGCGAAACTTCCGGTAATTATCTATTAGAAATATTGAATATTCCTCAGTATCTTATATAACACCGTGTTAAGCTGCAGACCTGTTCTTTTTAATTGTAAGTCCAAGAAATTAAGTTGGTGTAAATTCAGGGAACGACCAATCGACAGTAACATTTTACTTTGCATTTTAAGCATATTATAATAACTTCCGTTGTAATTTTATAGCTCTGTGTTGAAACCGAACCGCATATTTTACCATATGAGTACATAGGACTTTGGTAAAAGTAAATATATAGTAAGTAAAGCTTCCCCACTATATGCCATGTAGGCGTTTGAGGGGAGAGGTTGTACAGCTCCTAGTCATTCTTAACCTCGGTACTAGATAGGGGTGAGTGGTCAGCTTCACGCCCCAGCCACGTTTTACTCCCGGAAAAGGAGGCTGGATTGGCCCCAGAGGCGGTCTGGACGCAGAGGCTAGAGGAAAAATGCTCTGTCCCCATTGGGGATCGAACCCCGGTTGTCCAGTCTGTAATCAGTTACTGTACTGCTTTGGTAGCATTATAATATTTCTTGTGGCACTGAAGTACAGTTTAAATTTCGATACTATCTGCTACATTTCACATTTTTAACTATCTGTATAGTTGAATTAGCGAATGGCGCCAACTCCATAGAGAATACGCTTAAAATATGCCACGACCATTTATTTGAATCTGTTTTAACACCGCTTTCGAATGTTTGCCAGCCTTAAATTAAAGAAATTGAGCATATGTACCATACTACTGCATTAATTTCATTTTTAATTCGTCAGTTAAAAAATTTGAGTTATTTGTTGAAGGCTTTCTTCTTTGATGAAGTATCGCCTTAATTAGGCCTATTGTTACGTCTTTTTAAACCAATCAGGTTTTGCTTGAGTGCGAATTTTATCATCACAAGGTCTGAGGACTAGGTTAGGTAATTGTCAGACTGCACGTGCGCGACGAAGGTCGTAATTGGTTCACGAGAACAAGGACACGAAGGCAGTCTGGACCAGGACTTTGTCACGTTATAATTGACGAACGATAGCCTCAGCTCGTGCCAGCATCTCAACCTGATGGTCTGAGTTCAATCCACGTGAGATGTTCTGTGGGCGAAGTAGCATTGGGGCAGGATTTCGCCCACAGTCATCATTCCACCATTCCATATTCGCCTGTGACGTTTTTGAGACTTCCGACAGGCCTGACCAGCCAGCAGCATGTCACAACATCGGACCTTAGTTAGGGTTTCACTTTCTACCCGGCATTTGGATTAACATGTGGAAAAGAAGTTGATGTGGAAGATGGCTATCTTCTGGAATGTTGCGCCGTTCAGTCTAATAGGCGATCACTGTAGTTTCAAAAGTGTTTGCTACTTCCGTCATCAGGGCGATGAGTACACACCCATCTCCAAATTAAAAAAGATTTTGGATTTTTCAAAATTCTTGGGGGGAATAAATCTTACGTCAACCAGGGTAAAATAAAATTTTTACTCTATGGTTGTAATAGGCTACCGTGTAATGTTGTGGTAATGATACCAGTTTGTGGATATTAAAGTTGAAAATCCAACTGATAACGTTTGGCTGAATGAGGAATGTTAATAAAAGCTTATTATTCCAGATTAAACTTGCGTAATGCTTACACCAACCTCCACCACTGACATGCTGAAATGGAGCGTTCATGAATAAATCATTCATATGCAATGGTATACAGGCTACTAACATGAATGTCATGTTTGTTTGTTGGAAGAAACTACACATATCCTTTTTCTACTTCTGTGGATGTATAAATTATATACAGTGTGAACCAGTGAATAGACTTGAATATTGAATTGCGTTTATGTGGTTACCAGAAATGACGGGTGCAGTGGAATAAAACGTACCTTTACGGGTCCGGAAGATTTATCACCGTGTTCACAATCTCCCCCCGCCCCCGGCCACTGGACCCTATCTTGAGCGAGATGAATGTGCCACTTTTTGAGTTATATGATGGTTTATCCATAGCTTTAAAACCTGGCTGATAGCAACGGATGGGCTTCTTCAGATAACATCTCTTATGATGACTTTGTTATCATTGCCATTTGTGTTGAGTTTGTGTTCCTGTGGGACTAACAGGGAGCTGCACTGCCGATTATGGCCTTGGTACGTTCGACCACGCGAGTCTGGTAGAACGTGATACACAGATCGCAGTTCTTACGCAACGTGTTATGTAACAGCGCATGGAAAATATTCTACTGGCACTTCAAAGTATTTTGCTTGTTTCATGGTCCGTGGTTTGTAGACCACACAGTAAGAGTAGTAAAATACAAAATCTCTCGAGTATGTACTACTGCCGTGTTGGCATTACCGAAAGTATGACTTTGGAGTGGCCTCCAGTGGCATAACGTCCATACCGAATTTCATGAGAATTCGCCCAGCGGTTCTCGACTTGAAACATGCGGACAGAAATACGCGTTTAGTCCTTATCGTGCAAGAAATGCATAGAAGGAATCATTGATTGACGGCTGTGGTATGTTTGTGTTACGTAGTAAAACCTTTCTGTTATCCTAGAAACATCAAAAACTTTGGTCGGGAAATCCAGAGAATGTTACGCCACACTTTTGGTGTAGATGACAGAATAATGTCTGCTCTACATTGTGATGTTAGTGCATTATATGCAGACCGCATATGATAAATGTCTGAATGGTCGAAGTTTGGTTTTTGGTTCGGGCGCTGAGGGCTTTCACTTTTAATCACCAAGTTTAGAATGACGGAATTCACCCAGCTTTCCGTCCAATGAACGCTTTTGTGGTAATAAAAACTGGCCATAGGAAAAACAAAAGTGCGCAGAGAAATTTTTAAATACAGCGAAACATTTTACCTACGTTGTATTTAACAATACTATGAAAGGATATTTTAAGCCTTTTCCACTCTTCCTCGGATGAAGATGTATTATGCCATTAATTCGTTAAACTCATGCAATATGAGCGCAGGACATCGAACCTTTACAACCTGAGTGAGATGTCATATTGTCAAGGTTTTATATTCGCCATTGTTATGCGGCAACAACTACGACATTACTGCCATGCGGTGAAGCCTACCTGAGCAATATGGGCTCGTGATCTGTAACGGGAAATTCGATAAACATTTATGTCCCTTCCTTGTAATGTACACGTAAAAAATTCTACACGGGATTTTCCTGACGTCACGAGTAACTTAAATTTTGAGAATTTGTCATCCAGGACCTCTCTTCGAGCACAGAGATCGATATAACCTGTAAGGAAGCATGGTTGTCTCTTGTGTTATATGGGATGAAGAAAGGCGAAAAATGCTGTTCCATGAGTATAGAATAGTGCTGAGTGAAGATGATAGGACCGAACTATTCTGTGCCTCGGAGTTACTTAACGAAGTTGAAGGAAGTTCTTCTGTCCTTCATTCTCAGGCTACTCCCTAGCTGGGCCTCTCCATACTTGTCCGGAATTTTCCTCACAAGCAGATTGCATCCCGAGCAGATTAAATAAATAATGGACAACAACCTGAGGAGATTTCTTCAAGGCCCTAAAGCAGGCGCCGATACACGATACCCACAGTTAGGCATCCCGAAAGAAAATTCATATTGTTGTCTGATACTTTCATCTTCCTACATCTCTTTTCAGTTTCCTGTTTCACGGCAGTCGAGTTACACGGCTCTGACTTATTGAATTGTTTGGGTTTGGCAGAAGAAATTCGATAAGCAGACCTAGAAATGATTGTCTAGGATTCTTAAAACATCTTCCAGTGAATAATACGAGTAACTAGAGTAGGTAAAACACTTGCAAGTAATGTGGGACGTCCCAACAGAGTACGAAGGTCATGGCAAGAAGGTGAACGTTGCCCGTTGCCCTATTCACACTGTTCCTCATAAAAATAAGAATACAAAAATATTAAGGGGACGGAAAACTACTCATCTTTAAAGCTAGTGTTACTACAAGTGTGGATTTATTTATTCTGTTTAACCAGTTCGACCAAGGTCAAGTTTTTATCCAGACAGTATGAAGGTGGTTAACGCTGTGGTTATGTAAGCGTAGCAGCATGGCTGCTCTTTGCCCCTCGGCCGTGGAGAGGGGAGGGAACCGTAACATGCAAGAAAACTGGCTCCTGTTTAGAAAATGGGGGGAAAAAAAGGAAAATGAGTTACTCGATCCTGCAATCACTCTCGACCTTGGCTTATATCACCATGGCCACAGTAGGATTTCTGTGAATCATTGGGAAAGTATCCGGTCGGGAGGGGCGAGGTTTAGATATTTGCGACTTGATAAAACCAGGGGGGGGGGGGGGGCGAGCTTCAAAATAAACAACTAGCTGCATGGAACAGAGTCCTACTTGGTAAGCTGATTGTCAGTTGGCAAGTCGAGGTATTTCCGACGTATTTGGAGTCAGAAAGTACTTTACCATGTTCACAAGAACCTCGCCAGCCAAGTCTGTTCCACAACCTTTTTCAGATCCACTTTAGAAACGTAGAAGCGTAGTTGTGCCCCCTTAAGCTTTCGCCATTAAAATTTGTATGAATTTTTATCATTCTTGAATGTAAATGCGATAAACAATGAAGCACGCTGATGAAAGCAAAAGGAAATATCTTATAGCGAGGATGTTGAGGTCTGTTCCCCCTCCCCCCAACCTGTAGTGTGGTCCATATCTGGAAGCTGCAACTGAAAGTAAGTGAACTTATATGAAAGTGTTCTTAAAATGTATCAGTTTTCTGACGTATGTTAGAAATCGTGTCTGGATGAGATTGTTGGGGTACTGTCCTGGGATCTCCTCTCATCTCTTACAAATCGTGTTGTTATATCTGTTAATTTTTCCATAAAATTTGCGTATAAAATGAAAGAAACTTTGTATTTTTTTAAATAAATTCGTGTCTATGTAATAGACACTCAGATTAAGGTTCCCTTGGTTCCAAGGCCGCTACTTATGCCATTTGCGCGAAAAATGAGCAGGTACGAACATGGTGCATTCATGAACATGACGTATGTTCATTCTGTAGCATCACTTTGCACCAAAATTATTTTCTGCTGTTTGCGTTTTTTGGCAAGGAAGTACCAAATAAAAGACAACATTACACCGATTTTTGTATTAATGGCACAAAGCTTACAACACTCTTGTAGTTAGGGCTGCGTTTTAAATGGAATATTGTGTGTCAGAAGCTGGTCAAACGGTGAAACAATAGCAACAAAAACAAACAACAGGGAACAGCACAAAACGGCCATTTTTACCCACATCTTATGGCCACAGAAATGGGCAGAGAGATGCAACTTTTTGTGTATTTTTTCCATGCTGTGATAGGCATTTCTTTATCTGTTGCAGTTGGGGATAATCTACCGAGATATTAAGCTGGAGAATATTCTGCTGGATTCACAGGGTCACATTGTCCTTACAGACTTCGGTCTCAGCAAGGAATTTCTTCCACACGAGAAGGTAATTTACCTAGCCAATAAAGTACCAGAAATGGGCGCACACATTTTCTGACATTAGTTGTCGTGTGTCACAGAGATGCTAGGAATTGAATAAATTTTGGGTCTTGAACTCAGAAATATTGAATTGTGTTACATATAAGTGATCAAAATGAAGGAGAAGGCCAAAGAAACGCCGAAAAGAAAACGAAATGGAAGGGGAGCTTTGCTTTGTCTGTCATACTTTGAGAGGAAGTTATGAAGTGGAAACAGAGTGCTTAAGACAAATATTTGAACCTAAGAGAAATTAAATAAATTGTTTATTAAATGACGATTATCACTCTAATTTATAAAAGTTGTTTTGAGTTACTGATAAGGTGTTAAAAATGAAAGAGACATGTAGGACGTTTGGAAAGAGGAGATTAATGCAGAATTTTGGTGAGAAAACCTGCTGAAAAATGACCACATGGAAGATGTTAAAAAAATACCTGTTCAGGTCAGAAGATGAATAGAGCTGGATCAAGTCTGTGTGTAAGGCAGACTTTGCTATTAATAATAATGATTTTTTTCTGTCATTAGAGAGTTAGTTATTAATTAGCAGTTGATTATGTATCCTGAACACCTTATAATTTTGTTTCTGTCCGCAGGAGCAGCGAGCATATTCGTTCTGTGGCACAATCGAGTACATGGCCCCTGAAGTAGTTCGAGCAGGAGCGACTGGCCACGATATTGTAAGTTTCATATAGTACTTTTTAGTAATGTAAAAATAGTTCTTATTTTTTTCTTAAACTGAACACATCGCTCATGCTTAACCCTAAGAAAGCCTGGTAGTAACTGTGTGTAAATCTGTATTTTGTGTCTACGGGTTTTATGCTTCTCAGAGTGAACGTTAATTTGTTTCCTTAAAACAGCATCGATCAGTTGGTTCTTGTGATGAAGTGTCAAGTGTGAAATGCGACATCCAGTAATCTGTTATGAGTGTTGTAAATAGGAGTGTTCCAAAACATGAGGTACCATAAAAAGCACTCCTATATGAAGGACCTTATTCTTACAAAGATTAATGTGTGACATATAAGAAGACACATCACTTCTTCACATAGTCACCAGATGTTCAAGAATTCGTCCTATAGTGACATCAGGGCATGCATTATGTTTCATTAATATTTATATTCTTTTCTCTAGCATTCTTTTTTTTTTGTATGTATTATTTTTGACGTAAATACGTCTATACGGGAAGGGTCATTCGGCATAAAAGTGAAAGGAAAACGTGTAAGTTCCATATCAACAATGTGTAAATATGGACCGACAATCTTCAGCTTTTATATGAACTCCTGCGTGCATAACAATGCAAGAAAAAGGATTCGAATTTCTAACACACGCCTGCAACAATATTGACTGAGCATGCCTAAAGCTCTTTTCTCACTTACTAGAGCAGAGCGCTCCTTTCATCTGTTTATTCGGAATTGTTGTGTTACATTACTTTCGTCAACAACAATGGTCAGCTTTTATATGAACTCCTGCGTGCATTGTTATGTTACCTAAGAAACTAATTGTTACGTCATCTGTTTATTCGGCATTGTTGTGTTTCATTACTGCCGTCAACAACCCGCTTTCGTTATTGCAGAAAGAGCTGAGCTGTGTGAATCGCTTGTAGAAGAAGTGCGTCGTAGAGTAGATAATATCTTATTGCCTAAATATAATTGAAATACAAAGACGTATTTACGTCAGATTCTCCGGAACCTAGGTTCCACTGTCAATTTTTTTATGTCCATTAAATACAACTCAGTCATAGTAACAAAGTAGATCCATCGCAAGGAATACGAAGCCTTTGGTTTTATTTCGTAGATGATTATTATTTAGTCATTTTTATATGCAGTAACTGTTCATTAGTTTTATTCTGTTGAACTACATGTTTCAGCCCAAAGTAGCCTTGATCAGGTTTTAATGTAAGTTCTGAGTTATTGCACACTGTACGCTGCAGAAATATATTTCTTATAAATTTAGCAGACAAGAACCAGAAGGGTGCTCTTTTGGCATTAACCTGGAGGCGGTAAGGAAAAACCAGTTAGAGCACGCGTTAAAAAGTGGTTGGGCGAGAAATCAAGACAACTCGCTGATTGTAATTATTTAAAATTTTATAAATGATTTTAGGTTTCTGCAGGGCAGCCATTTTTGTTGGTAAAATGCATTACTTGCACATTCCAGGGACATTATACAAAGATAAAACAAAATTAGTATGAATGAAAGAAAGAAGTTTAAACGTTAAGAAATCAAGAGAACAAACAAGAAAAGAAAAAAAGACTAAGTAAGGACGTAAATAAAATGAGCCCATTAGCCAATAAAGAAGTAGCTAGATGAACGTGTTATTTTACTAGTTAAGGACATTCATTACTTTAAAATATTCCCATTTATTACTCAAGCAGAATTTTTTAGGATCAGCGTAACCTTCATTAGAACTAGCGGTAGTGGAATATTTGAAATCTGTGCTTGAAAACTGCGGTCTTCTCATAAGCAAATATTGTACTGAAAACAAGATGCTGGCTTTTATGGTTGCTGAAGTGTTTGCGAAGGGCATACTTTATTAAGGAGGGGGGCACGGTACCAGGAGCTGATGCAGGTTTTACTGTCGATTGCCTCTCTGAAATTACAGAGCGACTTTCCAGAAAATGCATAGCGGTGACCTGATTTCGCTCAAGCTTTATGTGTTGTTTTGCCAGCTGTGAGAAAGAGAAAGTGTTCACCCTTTCCAGCAACTTTAGTTTGTTGTTGCCGCGGCTACCAGTTGCTAGACGTATGGGCTATTTACTGTCTTTGCAGACGAGCGTGCAGTTTGGACGTGGCAATTAAGAGACTTTGTTGCTTTTGTTAAATGAAATAGTTGACATTTCTGAGCTGTTACAGCCTATTGGCTATTAACTTTAAGTACAAGAATGAGAATTATTTCCTTTACGGAATGAAAGCAAGTACCAACAAATGTGTGATATATTGGTGGTTGTTTGCAAATTGTAATCAAAATTTGGGTATTAATATTTTTCATTACTCATATTTCAGTTTATAGCTTGACTTTTTTATAGTGCGTTGTGTCACTAACCTAACCTAACCTAACCCAACGAAACCTAGCCCAATCTAACCCAACGTAAACAAATTCAACTAAATATGCCCTTTTGCAGATTAATGTGCATGTTTGTGCATTTGTGTCAAACCCAATCTAAACCAACATAACTAAATTCAACTAAATCTTTCTATTAGCAGCTGAACATTGCAGAAGGTCGTCTGTGCATGTGTGTCACTGACCTAACATAACCTAACTCACTGTAACAAAATTTAACTGAATGTGCCCATTAGCAGCTTAACATTGTGAATGGTTGTCTGCACATGTGCATGTTTATTACTCATACATCTCATATACAGTATGTCCAAAAAAGATGTATACACATTATAATATGAATAGGAATATTAACCTTGTTATGGATCTCCGTAAGTTGTGTTTATGACGGGAACCCAGTGTGGTATACATTTAACAGATAGAACTATAATATCTTTTCCCATGATTCAGATATGCAAAATGGAAGAGGGTTGTTTGAGTTTTGAGTGACACAATGTCTTTATTTCATTTATTTGACGTGTGTATATATTTTGGACACTTTCTATATAAAGGAACACAAGTTTATAATGTAGGATTATGTGGTATCTCAAAAACATTGGGTGACTTGCATCCTAAAGCGGCCCATCCACGTGCGAGTCCGGCTCAGCTCGGGTTCCATTGAGCCAAACTCGTTTGTGGGTGGGGTGTCACGAGCTGAGTCTGCTCTGCATGTTTGGTGAAATATATCCGAGCCCGGCTCACGAGTCAAGCTCGCCCAGCCAGACTCGCAAGTCAGACTCGTACGTGGATGGGCCGCTTAAGGGAGGAATATAGATAAAGGGCAATGTATAACAATCTGCTGTGGATAATATTTGTGTCATACAGAAAGGAAGTAATAACAGGCCAGAGAAAATTACTTAATGAGGAACTTCAGAATTTTACTCTTCACCCAGTACTGTTAAAAAGTAAAGTTTGTCCCACTATACGCCATGTAGGCGCTTGGGGGGAGTGGAGGTATAGCTCCTCTCTTCCTTGACCTCGGCACTAGATGGGGGTGAGTGGTCAGCATCACGCCCCGGCCGGCTTTACCCCCGGGAAAGGACCCCGGTACCCATTGTAGGGAAGGCTGGGTGGGCCCCAGAGCCGGTCTGGACGCAGAGGCTAGAGGAAAAATCCTCTGCCCCCGTCGGGGATCGAACCCCGGTCGTCCAGCCCGTAGCTAGTCACTATACTGACTGAGCTATCCCGGCTCACACCCAGTACTGTTAGATTTGTCAAATCAAGGAGAATGAGATGGGTGGGGGCTTATGGTTTGCTTGAGATACGAAATATAATAAATATGTGTGATATGTTAGCTGGCAAACCTAGATGGAAGAGAATGGGGAGACAATATTGGGATGGGTCTGATGGAAATAGTATGTGAGATTGTGGACTGAATTTATCTGGTTCAGGATGTATTTAATTGGTAGGCTGAAGCAGTCTCAATTTAACAACACAGGGACTTCATGAAAGAGGTTGACTGACTCTGTAAATCAGATTTTTTCTTTCAAATTGGTTTGCTAATTATATCTTCCTTTAGATACTCTGAAATTTACAGCTGCATTATAGTTAGGATCATCTTGGCACTGACTTTACATTGCTGTAAGAATTGCAACATTGTATTCTTTCAACATATCTGTAAGGAGAATTCTGATTTATTTTTGGGTTCTCTTGCTACAGTAATAAACAGTACATGGCAGCAGCCACAACAGTCGCTTTGTTCATTAGTCTGGATAATTTTGAATTGCAGAAAGCTGTGGGAATGCCTCCATTGTATCCACAAAGTGTTTAAAAATTTAGTTCTTTAATCTTTTAATCCTTCTTTATGTCATATTAAAATGTAGAACTATGTCTAAATGAAGCTGGGATATTTTGATTAATTGTTAATATTTTTCTGATTTAGTTTTGGTATGTGGATTGCATATTTGTATACCTCAGTCTCTTCTTTCCTCAGAAATGTATTTGGATTTTAATGTATGAATTCATATAACATGATTGTGTAATGAAGATTTCTGTCTTCTGGGTTGTTGCGTTGTGTAGTCTGGTCGATGTTAACCAACGTTTCAGAGGTCATACTGCCTCCGTCATCAGGGCAATGATATTCATCTCCCTAAATGACGGAGGCAGTATGACCTCTGAAACGTTGGTTAACATCGACCAGACTACACGGCGCAACAACCCAGAAGACAGAAATCTTCATACTCACCGCTGTGAAAACCTCAAATCTTACATGATTGCGTAATGTTAAGGAATGAAGTCTTTTAAAAGTTGATATTTAAATTGTCTGGTGATTTACATTCCTTGTTTTTTTTAATCTGAAGGTTTATCTTTGTGTTCTGAAAAATCTGCCGTTGGACCCTGTCTTATACCAATGATGATTTATTTCTAATATACAAAATTTACTTTCACTAGTACTGACTGTACTATTTTGTGGACTAAGAAGTTAATTTCTGACCTGTCAAGAGAAGTTGTTTGCGTTAACTGACTGGTGCACCGTGTGGTGACCTACTGACAAAGGCCGGCCTTGGCTGCTTAGCCAGAGAAATGACCCACTTCCACATGTGGCTGGCACGTTCTTTCACTCCAATAAGACTGCCATATCCCATA